TTGACAGAAAGGCTGGAGGGAGGGGTTACTGTATACAGCCCCAAACAGCATAAGCTTAAAACTTGAACAGGCCATTCAGAAAAGGGGAGAATCACTTCACCCAACTGTCCCCCAATCCTTGCAACCAGTCAAGAAGAATACCATCATCAGTAATATTGAAGATAGCTAAGGAATCCTGTTAATCCATGATATTTGCTTTCTCTCGTTCCAGTCCCATTATAAGAGACAAATCATTTAAGTCTCATAATCCAGCCCCATCTGAAAAGAAATCAGATCATCTGCTACATCTGCCACACTACCACCTTCTCAACAATCTTCCCTATAGCCAGGTTGATCTTCTTGATTAGAGGCACACACTATATCTTTCAAGGCTGGTGGGATACCTAAACTTCTCCTATACTGTAATTCAAAATTCTCTTTGTGACATAACATTTTGGAGTCAACTTCTGCTAACTTCATGAACATCCATTCATTTTCTTCACAAGTAGTTTCCCACTGCTGCCTTCTGGGATGTTTCTTTTTATTGCAACTATGGTACTTCCTATAATATCTAGCTTTTTGAAATCTGTCAGTGTCAGATAATTCTTGCCAAAAAGATGTTAGAGATGATAGAATTCGCAATGCCTGAAGAGAGATAGGAAAGCAGCAGTACTCATTCACAGCATCGTGAAGACCCAGTCCACACATTGGCTATCACTCAAATATAATATGGTGAACATTGGGATAGGCCTATAGGCAGGAAAAAGCGCAGATTGATGGAGTTATACCAGGCATCACTGTATCAAATAAGATAGAGAAGTAATTCATTCTTGTTATCCTAATTACTTTTATTACTTGCATGCTTTTTACGTTTCTTCGGGAAGTCCTTCTATTATAGATTAATTGTTTGAGTTTATATGCACCATAAACCAGAACTCCCCAATCTTTCCAGCTAGCCGGCTTGGAAGGAAAGGGAAGAGCAGGGAAATGTGCGTGTGCGTGGCCGCTCACCCACAAACTGGCACACACATGGTGGCACTAGCATGCATGCACATGCACAAGTGGGCTGCACATGCCTGCAATGGCGCGCTGGCACTCATGCACATGTGCAAATGGGCTGCTGGCACTCACGCAAACAGGCCGCTGGCACCCATGCACAAACATGCCATTAGCCCCCACGTGATGCTAGTAGCTCATGCATGTGCAAACGGGGCTAGTAGTACCCACGCGGCAGCACTACCACGAGTGGGGGGTCTCACCAGCTATTCCCATGGCCCATGGCCAATAGGCCACAGCCCAGTACCGAGCTGTGGACCATAGACTGGGGACCAATGGTTGCCATGAACCATTATAACGTAGCAAGCTATAAGATCAGAAGCAAGTTTTGTTTCCCTTGTGTCTGTTTTGCTTTTTCACAAAATAGAAGAGATTCCTTCCAGTTAAGTGCTGGGAAGGGCAATGGGGTACTAACCATCCAGATGAACTGGGAAATGGGGGACTTGTTCTCAGTCCACCTGCATAATAATATTTTTCATCTATGCCACCAGACCTCCCATATGGACATTCTAGATCTTATCAAGAAAAAAATCTTTGGAGGTCAGAGATTTGCTGCTATGATAGAATTTTCTTAGCCAGGGGAGGGGGGGGGGGGGCAAAAACAGATGTTTCCAAAATACTGCAGAACAAGAACAGATGGACATTTTTGTGGTCTCAAATCAGTAATTAGCATCCTCCCCATTAAATCAAGGCTTGATTATAAAGAAGATGAAAGGCATTAGGGAGGCCTTGCCTTAATGTACTTGCTGATAATTGATGGCCAAAATATACATATTCCATTTACAGAGATTCTGGATTCTTTTTTTTTTTTCTCCCGCAATAAACCTGCCTATTCTGTATCTGTTAAGAATCTTGCTTTCTTGTTGTGAAGTCATTGTAAGAGGGTTTACAGCTGGACTCCAGTTGGCCCACAGCAGAAATGCCCCTCCCACTGGCCATTGTGCTTGGCGTATTCAAATCCATCCCTGTCAGAGGGATTGGACAAACCTACTGACATAGCCTATTTTTTCTTATTGAGGCATGAGAATACAGGTAGTCCTCGACTTACAAAAGTTCATTTAGCAACCATTCAAAGTTGCAATGGTGCTTTGTTACACACTTATGGTCGTTGCAATATCCCCATGGCCATGTGATCAAAATTTGGATGTGATCCCCTTTTGCAACCTTCTGATAGCAAAGTCAACGGGGAAACCAGATTCACAACAACTGTGTTATTAAGAACAGCAGGCAGTCACTTAACAAACATGGCGAGAAAAATTGTAAAATGGGGCAAAACTCTCTTAACAAATTTCTCACTTAACAACATAAATTTTGGGCTCAATTGTAACCATAACATGAGGACTATCTGTATTAATCTTATTGAAGGAAGAGGAACATGCTCCTTTGACAGCTGAGTATTTAGGATGTTTATAGTAATGTGGGACATTTTATTCCCAACAGGGTGACTCAGGTGAGAGTATAGCATTCGTGATCATCACAACTGGCACACCTAACACAGTTCTTCTTGTATAAAGAAGTAGGATTTTCCTTACATATTATTAAAGTTTATTGCACTAATGTTGCTGTAATTTACTACCTATAAAAACTAATTATATAATACTATTCTGCCTACTCTTAGTAATAATAGGAACTAGTCTTGATTAATGTTGAGATATGTAATTAATGGTCTATAGCCTGGACATCAGATCAAGACAATTTTTTACATTAACCCAATTTTTAATAATAATAATAATAATAATGTTGGAAGGGACCTTGGAGGTCATCTAGTCCAACTCCCTACTCAGCCAGGAAACCATATACCATTTCAGACAAATGGCTGTCCAATCTCGTCTTAAAGACTTCCTGTGTTGGAGCACTCATCGCTTATGGACGCAGGTTGTTCCACTGGTTAATTGTTCTAACTGTCAGGAAGTTTCTCCTTAGTTCTAGGTTGCTTCTGTCTTTGATTAGTTTCCATCCATTGCTTCTTGTCCTGCCTTCAGGGGCTTTGGAGACTAGCTTGACTCCCTCTTCTTTGTGGCAGGCCCTGAGATATTGAAACACTGCTATCATGTCACCCCTCCTCCTTCTCTTCATTAAACTAGACATACCAAATTCCAGCAGTCGTTCCTTATATGCTTTAGCCTCCAGTCCCTAATCATCTTTGTTGCTCTTCTCTGTACTCTTTCTAGAGCAGTGGTTCTCAACCTGTGGGTCGGGACCCCATTTGGGATCGAACGACCATTTCACGGGGGTCACCAAACAACGCAGTCTGCCATTTTTTCCCCCTTTTCCTTAGCTGTGCTACTCCCTTTTATTCTGTTGGATTTTGAAAGCCAATAGAATAGACTCTCTTGAATAGAGTCTAATTTTATTGGCTTTCAAAAGCCAATAGGAATTGTCCAGGCTGTCTCTGCCCTGCTGAGCCCGCCAAAAGTCCCATTCTGCAAACGGTGCTGCAAGTTGTCTGCAGCGAAGGCGAGCTGTCTGGAAGTTTCCACCCCTCCCTGCTGAGCAACTACTAAAAATGTAAGTAAAAGAGGGCCAGGGGTGGGAGGTGGGAGGCCGGCGGGCGCAGGGAGGGTTGCTGGCACGCGTGCGGCCCGGCGGGTGCCTTACCTCCCTTGGGCTGGGCCAGCTGGTGGCCCAGCTGGTGGTCGGCCTGCTCCGTCTTTGCCGCTTGCCAGCTACACCTCGGCCGGCGCAGGGGGCGGCACCATGCATGCACGGCACTCCCGGGCAGGGAAAGTCCTCGACTTACAACCGGTTGAGTAGTCCTCGACTTATGACCGGTTGGGGTCGCGACATTAAAAAGGTTGAGAACCACTGTTCTAGAGTCTCAACATTTTTTTTTAATGTGTGAGATTTTATTCCCTCATGCTAAATAACTCATAGTTTCTTTTTAAGCATATAATTAGGAATTGCTGGATTTACGTAATTTTCTGGATCACACATTGCCAACCTCCATCCATTGACAACCAGCTTATGCCATTGACATGACAAAGAATACGCTTTGAATGTTCCACCTGATTCTGTGGAAATGAAAATGATCAGAATGTACTTTTCTCTATTCTAGCCCAGGAAATTGAGAATAAAGCCAAACTTCCATTTTTTTTTTCCTATCAGCAGAATTGGGCAATTACTAGGACTTTGCATATCTTATTAACATAGCAAGTTTATTGATTTTTTTTCTTTAGAATCATTATCTTGCTTTTCACATAATTAGCTTGAACTTCTAAGATAAATCAGCTGGTACATTAACTAGAGTGATTTTGTTTGTTTGTTTTAATCAAGCATTTATTGTGCCTGAATTTCATTTAATAATTTAAGGTTTAAGTTTGCCATGCTAGTTACCTTTATTTAAAATGTTTGTTGGGAATATTTTACAGCAAGTAATTGGTTTGCAGTTTTTCTGAAATACAGCACTTATAAACATTAAAGCATCAACAGGAAAGGGAGTCACAGATTATTGATAGATTGCAAAAATAAATGCTAAACATGCTAAATTTTATTTGAAGCAGTTCTATGTTTAGCCAAGCTGAACCAGTTCCAGCCACACAGAGACTTCCAAGCTTCTTTTATATCCTTTGATAATCACGCTATCAAGATAGGATAGATTATTTTATGATGAAAAAATAATTAGCAGATTAATACTAGTAAAAATATGTATAGGCTTGTAACATTTTGCTTTATTATGCTCTGGCAAATAAAAATAAGGAAGCAATCCTTTTAAGCTTGAAAAAAACAATCTTGGATATTAGACAAGCAAATATTTCTATTTCGTATGATGAATGATTTGCTTTTTCAAAAACTAAGCAAGCCGATAGTAGTTCACAAGTATCAAATATATTAGCACTGAAGCAACTCTGAAAGCCAAAATGTTTTCTTGTTTTAGGAAATGCCAGCTGCTTGATGACTTTAGCTTTATTTCAGGGATTCGCCAATCCCTAAGACCAGCTCTTAATTTTTTTTCCTTTAATACTCACAGTAGCTGGAACACCATCCAGTTGACGTGCGCCATGATTTGATACCAAAATCCCATTTACGCCAAGCTTTACTGCTTCTCTAGCATCATCAGCTGAGGAAACAAAATGCTGAATTTTTAAAAGTTGCAGCTGTCATTCTGGAAACTGCAACATCCATTAATGCCCACTTTTCAGAAACAGGAGGCAGCCTGAAAAATGCAATTCAGCGATTTAAATGATCCCCAGAACCAAGGCTGAAGCTAAAAAGGAGCCTTTTTCCTAAGTTCAAGACATTGTTCATTCCTTTGAAAGGGCCATCAACAGCACTTCTTTTGGTGGACCGATAAGCAGGGATATGCAAAGCCTGTTGGGTTGATCTGTGCCATGCCTGTTTTGGGTGGTTGGGTCCATCTGTGGGATTAAACAGGCTTCTTGTTTTAATTACAAACTGAAACATACAATCAGTAGAAGGGGCAGAAGTGGGAATGGAGAGAAATTAAGATGCCAGGAAAAATGGGTGGTTGGCAGTTCAGAGAGATGTGCCACACTGAGACATCGGCAATGGTGGTGGGGAGGGGAAGGAAAGGGCTGGGGAGATGGGGGAGATGGGTGGTCTAGTACAAGGCCATTCAGAAGAAAGAGAAGAGGGATTGATGTGCACCAGTTTTGATTTTGCAAAATCACTCTGAGATCCCTCCAGATTATGTTTGGGCTTTGTTTCAACCAATCTAAACAGTTCGGAAGAATTTCTGGGATGTGGCAGTGTGTTTCCACTTCAAAACAAAACTTAGCTTCCATCTTGTGCACATTTCTTTTGATAAGTATTCATCTTCCTAATCACCTCAAAACCATCCCTCTGGTCGAGAGATTTATGGCAGACCAGGTTTAATGATTTCAATAATTATCTATTCATCCGATTACATCAATTACTTCACGTTGCTTAAATGATTTAGTTGTCCCAAAGAGAAAAAAAGTAGACCTAATTATTCTATATATTATAGGCAAGCCAGCACAGAAGGACATGTAAAGAATTAAATATATTATTTTAATTAATATTTAATTAATTATAATTAAATATTTTAATATTGCAATAATTAGATATTATTATTTTTATATTTGTTTTATCTATATAGACCAAACTTAGAGCAGAAATTCAAACTCGTGACGTCACGCAACGTATGGGGACGGTTTTGCCATTGCTGGCAATTGGGTTGGCACGGCTTCCGGATGACATGTCCAGCCCACGGGCCGGCAGTTTGACACCCCTGCTTTAGAGAGTAGTATGAAACTTATATCAGTAAAACTTTATTTTGGGAAATGCTCATATACATGCACGCATGCAGAAAAAAAAAACACCTCAAAAAACAACTCCTAGATCACAAGCAAATTAAAGTCAAATACACAGTTAAAAGCTATCAGAAAAGTGCAAGGATACCATTTTCTTCTCTAATCCTACTAGCCAGTATACAAAATATAAATTTATCTGTGGATTTGAATTGGCAAACAAAAAAAGGGGAATTGTGATACCACATATTCCTAGTAATGTTGTGAGAAATTGCAGAAAGGCCGGGAAAGGAATGGAAAAGTTGTCATTCTTTGTGTCTTGATTGCTGATAACTTTCTCATTCCTTTCCCAGCCTTCCTGCAGCTTATCACATAAATTTAGCCCAGGTGGAAAGAAGCCTGGGAAGAAACATTTTAAATCATTTATAGAAATCATGACTTAATTAAATCAGAATGAGAAATTCTTACACTTTCCAAGATTCTGAATTGATCTCAGACATCTTACTAACATGTTTTTTCCTTGATCTTGTCCATCTAAGCAGGCCTTGTGAAAGAAAAAATTTTCCCAAGGAGTTTATTGTACCAGAGACCAACATACAATTACACTGATATACAAATTGACTTATTGACATGTTCAGTATCAAAAGAGCCCTTACAGTTACAGAAACTTGTTAAGACATGTGTGATTGATAGAGTTTACCTTACTGAAATCATACATAGAACCTCTAGTTTAAACAAAAGGCCTTAGATTCAGTAGCTAAGCTGTTTTTTTTCCTGTAATTCTCAGCACTAATTGTTAATCCTTTGGGGCTGGCTTGCATTCTAGAAGTTAACAATTTCACTTCTCTTGTTAGCATATTGGTGCTTTTGGTGTGGTACTTGCTTTCTACTGAGCTTGTACTACTGTTTATTTAAAGAATTCATATGACTTAGGGGCCAAAGTTGAGCCCATCAAATCTTTCCTTTTGATACACTGGAAAGACTGTCAAATTGGGAAGATAGCAGGGTGCCATATATCTTTATAGAATGCAGAATTAGGAAGACATTCTATTGTTTTAAACTCCGTAGAGCTAGGGGTACCCAACCTCCAGTCCATCGACCAGCACCAGTCCGTGGCATGCCAGAAAAATGGGCTGTGCAAACAAGCAAAGCCCCACCCGCGGGATGCAGGTAGCACGTGAAATCAAACCCCCTCCGGTCTGCAAAAAAACCTCTCTCCACAAAACCGGTCCCTGACGTCCTAAGGTTGGGGGCCACTGCCCTAGAGCAGAGATCTTCAACCTTTTTGATTTGGTGGCCCAGAAAGGGAGGCAGCGTATGTGCAAATGGGCTGCGTGTGAGTGCATATGCACGCACAAACAGCCGCACGCAAGTGTATGCACACATGCAAATGGGCTGCATGGGTGGGAGTGCTGCAAATAGGGTGGATCTAGTGCTGGCAGGACCCTATGGGCAGCACTAGTGCTGATGGGACACTTGGGGGCGGGGCGGCACTAATGCTGGCAGGATGCTCGGGACAATGCTAGTGCTGGAGGGACGCTCCAGGATGGGGTGGTGCTAGGGCCAGCGCAATGCTTGGGGCAGCGCTAGTGCCAGTAGGACACTTGGGGCGGGGCAGCACTAGCACCAGCAGGATGCTCAAGGCGGCACTAGCATAAGTGGGGGGGGGAGTGCACGCACATGTGCGTGTGCACTGGCCATCCTTCATGTGGCCTGGTAGTGGGCCATGGTCCACAGGTTGGGGACCCCTGCCCTAGAGGTATAAAGGCAAGCTCTCTTCCATCATGGACTTTCCTAGGTGTCCTAAATCGTAAGACCTACCACCTGACAGTGTGAAGGCTCCTTTATAATTAAAAACATAGTGTTTAATAAACAATCAGTAATTAGCTATCTTCTGAGAAAAAAATAGTTAATATCCCAATTTTAAAAAACTTTTTGAAATCAATAGCAGCTGAGAAATTCTCCAGGTCTACTGCAAGGAGAGTCCCTGTAGGAAAACCATAATACTGGAGTCCTGCCTTCAAACAGCAACTCCAGGAAGTTTGATAGATCTATCAGTACAAAGGCAACCAAACCCAAGAAGGTTAAATTCAGTTTTAACAAACGCCTAAAAATTACGATTCTTCAAAAGTAGAGCCTCAAGTCACAAAATGACATCAGGAATATAGTATTTGAAAGATTGCCCTTAAAAAAATGATTGAATTAATTCCAGAAAGTGTAAATGGGGGTATGACCTAAGCTGAGCTCCACATAACATTGTGTTATGAGTTTTCCCATCATATTCGTACATGTTTTTATATTTTATTTCATGTACGCATATATATTCTAGCCCACCCAACCCTAAAGCAGACAAGCACCTTTTAGAAAACAAATTATAAAGTATTAAATACTATTTGCTGTGTATGAAATTATAGCACCAAAATAGTACAATTTATACCTCAGGAAAAGAGCATCAGAGAACACTTTTGCATTTTGCCTCCAAGTACATGATCACTATCATCTGAGCTGGAGATACATTTACACCCATGCACATATATACCAAGAAGGAGAAATGGGACCTAGTATGATTACTAAATTAATGCATATTGATAAAAATTAATTGCTTGCAAGAGAAAGTCCATTTTAAAAAAACAAATAGATCCCCATCTGCATATCCTATTCTTCCTTACAGTCAAAGGAGGAAGAGAAAGAGAGAAAGGGGAAGGGAAGATGGGAAAACAAAGCTGAATAAAAAAAAGGGGGGGGGAAAGGGAAGCATTGTCCAGGAATGATAAAAGATTAAAATTCACCCTCCCAAGTTAACCTTCAAAGGATGGTTTTCAACAGGGATGTCTGCACTCAAGTTTGTGTAAGAATGTAAGAGGACTCATCTTCAATCCACAAACACACATACACATTTAGGAAGCTCCCTCTTTTAAACCTATTTACCGTATGTCGAACATTCATCTTTTTTTTTTTTTTTTTTTTTTTTTTTTTTTTATTAAAATTTTTATAAATTTTACAAAAAAAACAAGAACAATACAGAACAAAAAACAACATATACAAAAGAAAAAAAAATTAAACAATACATATAAAAAAAACCCCCACCCCACACCCCTCCCTAAAACCCTCCCTTCCCCCCCCCTGAGCTTCCCAGAGCAGAATATAGGCTTAAGAAATAATAATAATAAAAAAAAAAAAAAAAATAAAAAAAATAAAAAGAATAAAAAAAAAAAAAAAATAAAAAAAATAAAAAGAACATTCATCTTTGCGACAATGAAACTTATTGAATATACTATGGAAGCTTTCGTTTACTCTTTTTTTTTTTATTGAAAATTTTTATTTTTTTAAAACATACAATCATTTATAAAAATACAATAAAATTTTAAAATAGAGAACCCCCCCCTTACCCTCCCTCCCACCCCCACCCCCCCTCCCTTCACTTCCCAGAGCAGAATACAGGGTTAAGAAAAAAAAAGAAAAAGAAAATTATAATAATTAAAAAAAAGAAAAAAAAGAGAAAGAAAAAAAAATATCATAATTAACCTTTAACTCCATAACTTATAAAACAATTCTCTATAATATTTGATATTCATTCATAAAATAAATAAAACTTTTTAATTCCATATTTTTTCTGAATATAATCTATCCACCTTCCCCATACAGTAATATATCTTTCTTGTGTATGATCCTTTAAATAAGCAGAAATTTTTGCCATTTCTGCAAAACTAGATACTTTAAATATCCATTCTTCTAAAGTAGGCAAAGAATCTTTCTTCCAATATAGACCTACTAGTAACCTTGCTGCAGTTAATAAATTCAACATCAAAGTAGTTTCTTTTTCATTTAAGTCAACAAAAATACCAAGTAAAAATAGTTGAGGAGTAAACTTTATCTTCTTTCTAAAAATCTTTTGAATGTTCCACCAAATCATAATCCAAAAAGCCTTTACTTTTTTACAATTCCACCAAATATGAAAGTATGTCGCATCATTATTGCCACATCTCCAACATTTGGGCTGTATGTTGGAATACATACAAGATAATTTTTTAGGATCTAAATGCCATCTATAAAACATTTTATAAAAATTTTCTCTCAAATTTTGAGCTTGTGTAAATTTAACATTTCTTATCCAAATTATCTCCCATAAATCCAATGAGATCGGCTCCTGTATATTCTGAGCCCATTTAATCATACAATCTTTAACCAATTCTGTTTCCGAATCTAACTCTAATAAAACATTATATATTCTTTTTATATGAGCCGGACCTTGGTTTTTAATCTGAATAACCAATTGTCTATCTTCTAGTGTTATTCCCTCTTTCTTGTCTACAGTCCATCTATCCATTATTTGTAAATATTGAAACCATGACTGTAGAATATTTTGCTGCCTTAATACATCTAGGGATTTCAAATGCCAATTCGAACCAGAACAAATTAACAATTCTTTATATGAAATTTTATCAAAATTTGTCCCCTTAGAGGTTCCCTCAATTGCATGTCTGGGAATCCCCCAGATAGGTATTTTATAATTTAATCTATAGCTTTCGTTTACTCTTCTATCTAATACTGAAAGTCATTCAAAGGTTTCAAGGAAGAACCTACTGTTATTTGGACCAATATTTGGTTCCCTACTCTATCCTTGGGCTTTTTTTTTTTTTTTTCAGTTAAGCAAGCAGCTGTTCTGTATGTTTGATGGCTTTGGGGATCAATTATTCATGAAGTAGAATGGATATTACAAGTTGCACCTTATAAAAAAGATAGATTCAATTTATATATCCCGTCTGTTTCTCTGAGATGTATATGCATATATATATATACAGTATACAAAGTGAAGACAACCCTTTCCAACAAAGATTTTCTACAATTCATTTGCCTGTCTGCTGAGATATTGGCCAACAATCCAGACAGAATGTTGGTCTTTGATAGCACTACATGTAAAATACCACTGGACCAATAGCTAGCAGGAAAAAAGCACAGAAATTTAAGTTGGAAAGCTAGGCATTATAATTGCTTTTTCACTAGAAGGCAGCAGATTGGGGAAGGCAGTTCTACAGCCCCTCAAATATTGTAGAATTTTAGACAAGCAAACCAACCTCGGAGGATTCCTTTAGCAACAATGGGCAATGAAGTCAGTCCTCTGAGCCATTTCAAATCATCCCAGTTGATTGATGGATCAATTGCCTCTGCTACATAAACAGACAGGCCACTGTTTTCACCATAACCCTTTTCGGATGAAAATGCCAGATCGTTGGTGTCAAAATTTTTCATTCTGGAATTGGAAAAAGAAAGCTGGGGAAAACTAAGATAAGTTGACTGAAAAATACCAACACTCACTATTGCCTTAAAAGTGTGTGTGTGTGTGTGTGTGTGTGTGTGTGTGTGTGCGTGTGTGTGTTTATAAATAATGGCTGGAGAACCTTTTTGGGTTAACATTTGCCGAATGTCACTGGTGCATTATTCTTTTCTTCCCCCCCAAAAAAAAGAATTTTTGTTTTCTTGGTACAATGTACATATAGTAGTTCACTTAGAATTAGTTACTCAAGATGTCTTGTGACAACTAAATAGCTTTAAAGATAATTTGAAAACTCCATGGAAGCCAATAGAACTGTTAGTAACAATTATCCATACATAGAAATAAAATAGACAAGCTTCTGTACTGTATAGCTACATACCAAATATTTGGAATGGAAAATTGATTCACACAAGAAGGACTTACAGTATGACTCAGACCCTCCCAGTGGCTTCGTGATACTGTTTGGCTAACTACTACATCCTGACTACAAGATGCTGGACAAAATAAATTATTAGTATGTCTGATTCATCACAGTTTACATTATATTGTGACTCAGGTGAAGTCTATCACTGAATGTATCCTTTGAATTGTGGCATGTATGACACATTCATTCAGCTTGGGCTAAGCAAAAATATTGTCAACAAATGTTGAGAAGAATGACCATTGTGGCACTTTAATGTGTAGCATAAGAAAGAAAGAAAGAAAGAAAGAAAGAAAGAAAGAAAGAAAGAAAGAAAGAAAGAAAGAAAGAAAGAAAGAAAGAAAGAAAGAAAGAAAGAAAGAAAGAACAATCCACTTCCCATCTTCTCATAGTGTCCCAAAATCCAACAGAAAGGAAGTGAAGGAGAAGAATTAATTAAAACTAACATCTTGCATGGACTTTCAAAGCAGCTGCTGGCCATCCTCACATTCTATTTTGTACATGGGTGTTTGGAATATTAGAACAAGTACTCAAAGCAGCTTTGCTACAGCCTTCAAAACACAGCTGCCTCCCAATGATTCATAGATCTCTAGTCTTAATTGGAGGGGGGATGTGAACAGTGATCTTTCAGACAATATGGAACAACTGTGCCCAGCATCCCCAACCAAGATGCACAATGTTGAGGAAACTTGGAGCTGCAATTCAGCAGTATCTGAAAGGACACCATTTCCTGTTTCTCCCATTAATGGCTAGAAACAGTGAGTATGGAACAACATATCCAATCAATATTCAACTTTGCCAACACTGGCAGAAAACTGAATAATATAATACTATATGAAAAGGGATAAACTCAATAATTAATTTCATTCTGTTAGTCTAGGGCCCAGGTGTCAAACTCGATTGCGTCACGTGAGGTATCATGATGTATTGCGACGCTTTTTGCCTTTGTGGAGCCGGGGTGGGCATACCCTGCATGTGATGCATCTGGACCACAGGCCACCAGTTTGACACCACTGGTCTAGGGAGAAATAATCTTTCAAAGTGCCGTGACTAAAATGCATACACTTGGAAGAACGGGAGATTTTTTCCCCACTTCCTGTGCAACACCAAAATTTATTCTGCAGCACAATTTTTTGTTAACTAAGGATGGCTTTTAGGGTTTCAGTATAAAGCACCAGTAAAACTGTTTTTATAAATATGCAGACATGGTTCAGTATAAAATTATCACCCTGCATGAGATATTTCTGCTTCCCATATTTGCCATACTAGGTATGGAAAAAGGAGTTTTGCGTTGGGAAATAATTGAAACCATGTTTCATAGCTTATTGTTACAGCAATAGCATGGTATTTAGATGTAAGATTTGAATACAGAGAAAAAGATGGAAAATTGATACCTCTGACTCTAAGTACCTGAGATGCGGAGGCAGATGAAACTTGTTGCGTACATCATCTAAGCGTTTTCCGAGATACGGGGTGTCCACAGTCACAAAAATGCCTTTGTATCCAGCTTTTTCAGCCCGATGCACCAAAGACCTGGTGACCTGCCGGTCCTTATAAATATACAGCTGCAACCAGAGAATTGTCTTTGGAGCTGCCTGAGCAACTTCTTCTATAGATGTTGTGGACCATGAACTCAGCATCAACCCTGTTCCTGCTGACCTACAGGCTGAAGAGTGGGAATGTTAGTCACAGGACCCTAGCACAGAAATTAAAATTCCTTTTTCAGATCTTGAAAAATTATGCAATATTTTAATTGCTTCATCCTTTTCATGCAAGGACAAAAATGCCACCACGTCTGTATTGGCAGCATGGAATTCAGTTTGTTTTATGGCACGATGAAGGCCAGATGATTTCACAGTTGGGTGGTTGCCTGTTTGTTATCTCTGACTTGATTTCAGCATTTATCACTTCTTTGTAAATAGATTGGATGAGCTGCTACTACTAACAGACAGTTTCCATGGAAGAATAAAGGAAGCCTGTTTTTTTTATTATTGTAATAATAGACATTCTGTGAAAAAGCCTTTTTAAAAATATTTATGCTCATTCATTTCAAACCAACTATTTTGTGCAGCATCAACTATCAAGGGACTTATAAACTTCATTCCTCACTTTCTTGATAGAATGAGTATATTGTATAACATCCAGCCCAGTTTGTCTGGATGTTAAGCTATAACTACAATTATGCTAGCCTGGTATTTCCCTAGTCTCCAAATACTTCTATGAGATGAACACTCATGTATAGGATCTCTTGCCTGCAAGTGAGAACATTTCTCTCTCACCAATCCTGAGCAGGGATCCTAAGAGGAAAGTGAAGCAGTTGATGTGCCTTATCCTTCAGTGACTGCTTGTGGATCATTGCTTCGCAGCCAAAGCCAGTAAGCAATTTCCCACCTTGTCAGCTTCATTGTCAGTCAGATCCAGCTGATCCAAGTGACTAAGTAGCCAGTGGGAAAGATTACTGATTCCCCACTCTTCCTATCAGCAGAAAACAATCACTCCGTCTTTTTAATGGTGAGATGATTAGCCACATAGGAAAAGAAGAGGCAACAGCAGTTCCAAGGGCTCTACTTTTTGTGACCATAATTTCTTCTGAATGCCCACTAATTTTAGAAATATTTTTTAAAGATTTAGTTGTCTGTTGAAGCATATGAATCATGAACTCCTGTCCTGCTAACCATACAATTAAAAGATGAAAGCAGAAGTTTAGGATTTGTACATTCCCCAAGCAAGTTAATGGCCAAATCTGCTTTGGGATAGTGTGTTTAGTGTCTATCTGAACCATGTCATTGGCTCTAGCTTGCAAGTAATTGCAAAATGATACCGATACTCCAGTAAGCTTTAAAAATTATAGAAGGTAAAAGTCTCTCCATATTATATATCTACATTCAAATTCAATCTTAATGTCTACTTGGTCTCATGCATCTGACTGTGTGTGTGTGTGTGTGCACGTCTGCGTGTTTGTGTGTTTGTGTGTGAGTGAGTGAGAGAGGTGCATAAACAGTCTATGTCAAAAAACATTTGAATCAGAAAATATTTTTTTAAAAAAAATACATTTAATTCCAGCTCTTGTATCTCAAACACTCAGTTATCCTCCTGAAATACTACTTTTGTTCATACTGTTTCCTGTTAACAGCTACATTAATTAGTATCTATCAATCTATCCCAAGAAATTGTCACAATATTAACAACCTTGGAGTTAAGGAGTATAGTATTTGCTATTAGAAGTATTAGTGCTCCATCCAGTGGCCAGACACTTAAATATCATCAACTGTTTCTCAGCTAACTTAGATTTAGATTTTAGATTTTTGTTTTAATCTTGTCTGTATTATTTTTATAAATAACTCGGGGATAATACTTCTTTCTCCTCCTATTTTCCCCACAGCAACACTCATGTGAGGTGGATTGGGCTGAGAGAGAGGGACTGGCCCAAAGTCACCAAGCCAGCATTCGCGTCTGAGGGAACACTAGAACTCTGTTTCTTGGTTTCTAGCATTCAGCCTGCATGTATTAATATTTCCACATGATAGAAACTATAGCTCTGAAATCTTTGTGTTGCAGTCTAAAAAAGTGTGGAAAAAAAGCCTTCGTGTATGTTCCTGATGCAGTGAAAGAATTTACTTCTACATGCATGTTGTATGAATGTATGGGGAGTATTATTCATTACCAATCAGCATTCTTGCATTTACTATAAGAATCAAGTATTGATCTGCAGTGTTGATGGTCTCTCAGTTAGGACTATTCCTCTCCTCCTTCCCCAAGGGGGAGACATTCCCACTTGAGAGACAGCAGTCACCAGCTTTGTGGGCAAGGGCAGATGGCATATTTTATTTAGCATGAAATGGATGTAATCCACAAACCTCTAATCCTCTTTAACTTTCTTTAAAGCTTTGTTGCTTCTCATAATGGCACTATGGTTTTAGGTGGTTTCCTATCAATTGCTGGGCCAGAAGTGGACCAGAAAGGGGCTATACAATAGATTTGCCCATGTTGACTAAGAATTATGGGGTTTCTAGCTGAAAAAAAATCCTGAGGGCATCAAGTTAGAGAAAGATAATGTAGAGCAGGGGTTCTCAACCTTGGCAACTTTAAGACTTGTGGACTTCAATTCCCAGAATTCCTCAGCCAGCTTTGCTGGCTGAGGAATTCTGGGAGTTGAAGTCCACAAGTCTTAAAGTTGCCAAGGTTGAGAACCCCTGATGTAGAGGAATCATAGTTTTTAAAAGGGCTGGAGACATGGAGAGGATAACCTATGGTAATAATCAATAATCTAAAACCATTTAAGTGAACTGCTTTCTTTCTGAACCATGACTAAATATCTTAATGTGCATACTGTTTAATTATCTATTTGATTTACATTTAATAGACTATTTTTTTGTAGGAGCATCTACTAACATTGACTCAGTGAATTATCCCTAAAATAGCTACTTAGATTTCTGTAATTTCTGTTCATGAATTATATTACTAAAAACATAGAAACAGATACAGATCATAGATTCTGCTTCTGATAAATACTAGGAATGAATAGCAGTCTTCTGTTGTCTGAAAACTACATTATTGGATGTTACATGGTTTAGGAAGTGAAGTTGCTTATGAGACCATAGAGAGAAGTATGAAACCTGGTTAGGACCATCTGCAATTTTGCTCAAGTTGAAAATGATGAGTACCTGGCAATATGACTTTATTTAGAGCCACTCTTCTTCTGTGTCTCAAAAGGATAACAACTGTGGAGGATTTATTAGTGGGAGGCAGGCACCATGAAAGACATGTGAACAGAGAAGCCACTAAGGTAGGGTTTACCGACCTTGGCAACTTAAAGACATATAGACTTTAGCTTCTATAATTCCTCAGCCAGCCATGCTGGCTGGAGAATTTTAGGAGTTGAAATCCAGAGATCTAAAAGGAGAAAAATGGACATTTTTCAGTATTCTATGGGTACGCAGATCAACTGTTCTTTGTAAAGATGCATGGGAAGCTTTAATTTCACTTGTGCAAATTAGCACACTTTTTTTCTAATTAAAAATCTTTTCCCTTAAGAATGGCTACCATCTTGGTTGCACCTTGCTTCTGCCTCTCATTAATTCTTTTATTGTGTGAAAGAGGCTGAAACCTCTATTCTCCTATTCAGAAGTGTATTTTCCCCTCTCCAATAGCTAATCAAACATACTAGATTACACCAGATCCCAATTCTTGTATTCTTAATTTAACATTGCCACTGGCTGAATTGTGTGTGTCTGCCCCTACAAATCTAAAAATTTTTAAGAAAAAAATTCCAAACAACCTTGGAGCAACGTGTTAAACTTTGCTTTTGCACCTTCAATGGTTCACTAGAGGGAGCTAGCTTATTACATATTTGACACTTTTCTCATGTTATCAGAAAGTATAAAAGAGGATGAAAATTTTGAGATAGATTCCTGTGATGAATGTTGTAGAAGCATGGGGAAGGTGCAAATATTACTGTATTATCTATCTATCTATCTATCTATCTATCTATCTATCTATCTATCTATCTATCTATCCTTCCCATCTCCCCAGTAAGGAGACTCTGGGCAGCTTACAAAGATTAAAAAGATAAATATAGAAACAACATTTTTAAACTATATTAAAAAACTAGAACCAAGGAGAGGGATGGCAAGGAAATGAGATCTTTTTCATTCACCATCTCCAATGGTGAACCTCCCCCCTCCCCCTCAGGGCCCCTTTTTTTTCCTCTCCTCATATACAAGAATCAATCAATACTGTGTGAAGTTTTGCCAGACACCAGAGTCTAACTTAGGTACCTAAGGCCCTTTTCTTTCTTCGCCAATTTTGTGTGTTTTTTTTTTAAACATACATGAAAACACACACCCATTCTTCACAACTAACCAATTTTTGTAGTTCAACCATGAAGTTCATAGGCCATTTTATGGATCAAATAAAATGTACATTGAATAGAAATAGTTTAGTTCAAAATATTTTAATTGGTGCAGTCCTTCACTGGAAAACTGAATTCAATTATTTTATTAGCCCTTTTAAAGAACTCTTTTATTCTTATTCTCTTAGGAAAAATAGGCAAATCAACTAAACCTTTGTTATGGCCTTTGGGCCTGAAAAGCAAGAATATGCGAAGCTAAGCTATTCAGATGGAGCGTATGTGAAAAAAGTTTTTATTTTTTTTAAAATGTCGTATTATTTGTGCTTTTTAAAAATATATATATAATAGACGGAAGACTAGGCTAGACTGTATTTCTTTTGTTTGTTCATTTTTGAAGCAGGAACAAAAAAAACCTGGCTTAGAAACCAACAACTATGAACTGACCGGGGAGGGGGGAAATCTCTTCCCGCACTTTTTTGGGTGGCATTTAGTAACTTGTTTTCCAGATAAGTAAAAAGATTTCATCCAAGGTTTATATATAGACCAATGAAATATTATCCTAATAATCAGCCTAACAAGTAAGTTATGTATGATATCCTACCAGAGGACTCATTATGCAAAGACCTAGCTCTCTGGAGAAAGCTTTAATGCTGGGGGAAATGGAAGGAAAGAGAAGAGGAGGACAGCCAGCACTAAGGTGGGAAGATTCAGCTACAGTGACAACTGGAAGAGCTGAAAAACCAAATTACGGACTGATTATCACAGAGAAAATCTATCTATGATAGAGTTGATAATGACTGGATAGCACAAAATTC